AGTCTCTGCTTAAGTAAAGAATAAGCTACCACTTCCACATTAAACTGCTTTATTCTACAGGGATAACAGTATATATTTCTTTCATTTTCCAAAACCCATCAGTGAAGTAGACAGCAAGGTCACCATAAGATTAGGTTGTGCTACTGACATGTTTAATATTTATTTCTCCAGTTCTCTTACAGAAAATGGTGCCACAAAAAGACTTTGCAATCTCTTTCCTTGGCTCCCAGTCACTCCCACCCTCCTCAAAATTCGTCCTTTTTTGAGTGGCAATTTCCTGCCTTCACTAAAACTTTCAGCCTCTTGATTGTTCTGGTTTCTTCTCAGTGGAACTTGTCAGATTCTCCTGTTGATTTTATTATGCCATAAATGAAAGCCTTAAACACAAATGACCCTTTTCTAGTAACAAATTAAATACCTGCAATTGCCAGATGCTGAACCTTTCAAACACACACAAGTGTGTGCACACACATGCAGAGGCACACATACATACTTCAGCAATTTTCTAAGTTGTAGTACTGGGTAATACATCACTATATTTACAGCTATTTAGAGGCTATTTTGCTATAATTTATTTGTTTGGTGGTGGACCAACAGGAATAGGATGCTGAAACTTTAAGAAACACACACACACACACACACACACACACACACACACACAGACATAAAACAAGTCTGGCTTTTATAAACAGGAACAGCATCAAAAGTTATAGCACTGTAGTTTCCATTGCAGTCAGAGTAATAAGTCCAACCATCAGTTTGGCCACAGATTAACCATGAATCAGTTCCGTCCATGACAAAGCCAGATAGTAGCAACTGTCTGAAAAGGTACTGAACTGGTATGCAAATGCCGGCTGCTGGGAAGGATTAGCTCCTAAAGGAGCCAAAACAATGAACCCAGATCTGCACTGCTGCCAACAGGATAGTGTTTTTGGGCAACAATATCCCTTTTCCTATCTCAGGCCTACAAAAGGACAAAAGGCTGTGTAGAGGAATTTTTGTTATTGTCAATGTATTTCATTAGGTTTTAACAGTTTATTATATTACGGAGAATAGAAATACTACTCTTTTAAAAAAGTTATATGTTGTATACATTTTGTCATTGCCATAAACCACTTGGAACAATATTTTGGGGGAAACAATGTGAAGTTTAAAACACATAAAGTAAAATATTGGGATGACACTGGGCTTCTCTGGTGGAAAATGGTGGCGGATGCAATACAACCCACTTTTTGGTATGACCAGAGGAGATTCCTAAAGTGCTCTGTACCTTGTAAAATATGAATGACACAAGGCTGAAGCAGCTCTGTGATTGCTTCAGAGATCCTAGTAGAGCAATAGCTAGATATGTCTTGTAAGATGTGACTGTTTTGTTTTAAAACTGTTAGCATAACTCAGGGGTAGGCAACCTTTTTGAGCTGGGGGCTAGGTTGCTGTCCCTC